TTCTTTTTAGTACATGTACAAGTTATCTTTTATTTCAAATTCAGTATAAGTTATTCTTCTATTTTAAATCTCAGTTCTTTGCAGTTATTCTACCGATACAAAATGTTCAAATTAATTAAAATACAATAAAAAGGAATATCAACAAAAAGAAAGGTATTCATATATTTATCATTTTCTTTTTCTTCTACTAAGTTACAATCATACAACTACTTTTACAAAAAAATTAAAGTATATTATATTCAATATAAACATTCCTTTCTTTTTCCAAAATTTTTCTGAAGAATTGATACAACGATGGTTGGACTAATATCTTAAGTACTCAAAATCGATAGGAATTTAATCCTTAAAACTTCTATTTATTTTAAAAATAAAACGGAATTCAGTTGTCCTCAGTGAGGTAGACATTACGTCTAGACTCGAAAATCAAATTGAATTATTTATTGTGTTCATCTTTGGATGTAATATTATTGTATAAATTAACACTTTGGATATCCATTTAATACTCACAATCATTGTTTTTACCATTGTCTGTACTGATTTTTTTGTTACTTTCAACCGCCCAGGAAATAAAAACCTGTTCAATATTTTTTAATCGGTCGGAAGCTGTATTAAATCCGCATTCTTAAAATGAAATTTCCGATTGAATCTGATTCAAATCATTTACATTTTTCAAGTTTTTCTTTCTCATTACCTGTAGGTTGAGATTCAAAATTGTCTAAACAGATATATTAAATTTTTCATTAATAAAAAATTACACATTGAAATGAACTCCTATTTAAAATATTACATTCCGATTGAAAATGTTAATAATGAATCCGCATTCTTAATATGTCTGATTTACTAGACTGTGCATTTAATAAGCTTTACTTTCAGGGAGAATGTCAACCGAATTCGGTTAGCATTGGGTATGCGCGATCCATCAGAGTGACCAAAAGTCAGTAAATTATAAGACCCGGACAACATTTCCCTACATATTAAATATTGCAAATTTTATGTATATTTGGGGTAAAACTCCTGTAGCGAACTAAGTTAAAAAAAAGTTGATCGGATCGGGCTGTAACTTGCACATAGTTTAGCACTAAGGGTGAGTAATTTAACCACGAAGTATTGTTAGGTTTTTCAAAAACTGTCGAAGAGGGAGGGGGTTGAATTTTTTTGAAAAATTTAAACAGTGAATTTTTGAAGACTTGTAACTTTTAAACAGAAAAAAGAAGAAAAATTTGTCCTACATGTTTTCGAAAGGTTTTTTCCTGCTGTTTCAAATGGTGCAAAAATATTCAAATTTTGACCCTTTTTTGAAAATTAAACATTTTTTCGAATTTTTTTTTAAGTTCCGTCCTTTTTATTTTTTTTATTTATTTTTTTTAAAGCTAAAAATGTGTATTTTCAACATAAAAAATATTGAGATATCCTTGTTTGTTATTTATTACTGTATTATTGTATTAATTAATTAATTAATGTTAATAAAAAATGAAATATTTTACAAATAAATGAAGTTATTGCAATCCTGAAGGTAACAATTGAAAGCTGACATTATTCCGCATCTAACGAGCCCTATATGGACTATTTTGGATTAAAGGATTTTCTATAAACAATTGACATGTTAGCCAATTGTTTATTAACAATCCACTAACCCAAAGTACTTCATATAGAGCTCGTTGGATGCGGAACTATGTAAACTTTCATTTAGTAACGTCAGAATTACGATAACTTTATTTGTTTGTAAAATATTTCATTTTTTATTAACCTTAATAGTTAATTAATTAACTAAAAATTGTAAATATTATGTAAGTATACAAATAAAATTTTGACATATATGTTTTCCAAATTTTTTTTGTGCTCTTGCGATTAGTGAAAAAAAAATTTAAAATTTGACCCTTCTTTCTGAAAATCAAAATTTTTTTGACTTTTTTTTTATTTATTTTTATTTTTTTTGAAAGTTAAAAATGTGCATTTTTACCTCAACAAATATTGAGATGTCCTTTTTTGTTATTTTCGAGATTTTAGTTAATTAATTAATGTCAATAAAAATTTATATGGGGCATTCTATTTTAAAATTATACCCCTAGTAAACAATTGACAATATAAGACATTTTTTAAATAATTATTTCTTCCATTTAATTAAATCAAATTACTTTTGCAATGAGTGGTTTCGAAAGAGAAATTTCTAAACTTTATTTATGTAAAAAAAATTTTTTAAAAAAACGTTTAATTAGCATAAAAAATTTAGTTTGAAGGTTAAACTTATAAATATCTCAAAACACGTTGTCTCCGATTTTGACAAAATCTGTGTCAAAAGAAAGCTTAAATATTCTATTTTTTATTTCCGTAAAGTTTATAATGGACATTTTCGAGGATTTCGAGAAATTAATTAAAATTCTCAGACGTTTTAAAGGTTAAAAAGGGTTGAAATTTGCATGAATAGAGAACCTCTGTTCAAATACAGCGGCATTTGTTTTTAAATAAATTTTTAAATAAATAAATTTTAAAACTTCAATTTTAATCTTAATAATTTTTTTAAATTTGAAAAATTTTTAATTGCAAATAGCTAAAGATCAATATATTTATTGTTTACAATATTTCTTTTCTCTAATGTCAAGTGATGTAATAATGTAAGGTTAATGGAAATTAAATTTAAAAAATAAAATCCGCTCTTAAAGAAATGGTTCTCCCCAGTCGAAAATCGTAAGTTTCCCTGAAGGGTTCACATGGCCTTCAGGTAACTGTTATGGAGGTTTCAAAAGCTTCATGGCAACTATTTATACATTAGACCTAAAATTCTGTGATATTTGCTTTCTGACTTCTTAACGGGAAGCTTTTTCTACAGCTTGTTGAATATCTGTGGACAGCTTCTAGCAAAAGGTCTACCAGTTTGCTTGGTGAATGCTTTCCTAATGCCTGGTTTAATGTGTAAGAAAGCAATTCTATTTGCTTTTCACAAGTTGCAAATTAATATGAAATTTAATTACCTTTTTTACACTTCCTGAAAACTAGAATAATTTCATTAAATTAAACTAAATCGAAAAATCATAAAAATTCTATAGTAATTTGTAAATCCGTTTTATACAATTAATAATTATTCTTTATATATTATATAAAAATTATTTTTCAAAGAAAACGTTTATTTTTAAACACTTAAATTATATACGAAAAAATTATATATAACTTGAGCAAAATTTGGGGTTAGGAATACGAACACGGTGAAAACCTTTTATATTGAATAATGAATACAATTTCTTAAAAAAAGACAAAATATTTAATATTTAAAAAAAAAGATTATTATTTTTAAACTTGATATTTATGAATATTTTTTATAAATAATATATTCTTTATTTTTTTAGAATAAATTTAAAAAGACTGTGGAAATACCGAGTCTGACGTAAATAATTTTTCTTTAATTCTTCAATATTTAAATATAATACTCTAATACATAATATTTTCACGAGATAAATAAAGATGGAAAGAAAGGTTAAATTTAATTTTTGATCATTGTCATTTTTCCGCTGTTTCCTGAAACATCCATGACGCTTCATTTAATTTTCGCCACCTGAACGCTTTCTTTTTATATATGCAAAATCCTGCAACTCTTTGATAACTCTCTCAAAGCTACTTGAATGCTTTGTTTAAAACGTACAAAATTTGTTATTTTCAAGCTTTCCGTGGAAGCGAAAAATCGGCCATAACAGGCTTCCTGAAAGTTTTCTATAGCTAGTTATCTACTGTCTCACAATTCTCTAATGGTTATCTCAATACTTCAAAACAACTTTTTGTTCAGCTTAACATAGCGTAGGATTTTCGACTGGGTCCATTCATACAAATTTCAATCCTTTTTAACCTCCGAAACGTCTGAGAATTTTAATTAATTTCTGGAAATTCTCGAAAATGTCCATTATAAACTTTACGGAAATAAAAAATAGAATATTTAAGCTTTCTTTTGACATAGATTTTGTCAAAATCGGAGACAACGTGTTTTGAGATATTTACAAGTTTAACCTTCAAACTAAATTTTTTATACTATTTAAATGTTTTTTTGAAAAATTTTTTTACAATTGTAAAGTTTAGAAATTTCTCTTTCGAAACCACTCATTGCAAAAGTAATTTGATTTAATTAAATGGGAGAAATAATTATTTAAAAAATGTCTTATATTGTCAATTGTTTACTAGGGATATAATTTTAAAATAGAATGCCCCATATATTTTATAAACGAATAAAGGTATTGTAATTCTGATGTTACTTAATAAAAGTTGACATAATTCCGCATCCAACGAGCTCTATATGAAGTACTTTGGGTTAGTGGATTGTTAATAAACAATTGACTAACATGGAAATTGTTTATAGAAAATCCTCTAATCCAAAATAGTCCATATAGGGCTCGTTGGATGCGGAATAACGTCAGCTTTCAATTGGTACCTTCAGGATTGCAATAACATTATTTATTTCTAAAATATTTTATTTTTTATTAACATTAATTAATTAATTAATTAATTAATTAATTAATATTTCCAAAAAAGGACATTTCAATATTTTTTTTAGTAAAAATACACATTTATAGCTTTCAAAAAAAAAATTAATAAAAAAAATAAAAAGACCGAACTTAAAAAAAATGTTTGATTTTCAAAAACAGGGTCAAAATTTGAATTTTTTGAAAATTTTTTGCACCATTTGAAAGAGGAGGAAAAAACCTTTTGAAAACATGTAGGACAAATTTTGCTTCTTCTTTCTGTTTAAAAGTTACAAGTCTTCAAATATTCACTGTTTAAATTTTTCAAAAAAATTCCACCCCTCCCTCTTCGACAGTTTTTGAAAAAACCTAACAATACTTCGTGGTTAAATTACTCACCCCTAGGGCTAAAATATGTGCAAGTTACAGCCCGATCCGATCAACTTTTTTTCACTTAGTTCGCTACAGGAATTTTACCTCATATATAAAAAATACTAAAATAAGTGATTTTTCTCAATGCTAAAAATTCTAAAATGTTGTATTTTTAAAATTTTTTAGATCATAAAAAACTTTCATGTGGAATGTGCAAACAGGCGACCAGTGAAGATGATTTTGCAAATGATTGCTGAAACTTCTAAACCTATACAACTGAAACTAACGCCACGATGATAGATTATGTCATACATTCAGTAAATATATGTAATTTAAAATAAATTTTGAAAATCAAAATTTTTTGACTTTTTTTTTAAGTTTGGTTCTTTTTATTTATTTTTTTTGAAAGCTGAAAATGTGTATTTTTACCACAAAAATATTGAGATGTCATTTTTTGTTACTTTATAGATATTGATAAATAAATAAATTAGTTAATTAATGTTAATAAACAATTGCAATGTTTACTAACTGTTTATTAACAATCTATTTATCCAAAATACTTTATATAGAGATCGTTGGATGCGGATTTACGTTAACTGTCATTCACTAACGTCAGAATTACAATAACTTTATTTGTTTATAAAATATATAATTTTTTATTAACATTAATTAATTATTTAACTAATATCTCGAAAATAACAAAAAACGACATCTCAATATTTTTTGAGGTAAGTAGAAAATTTAAATTGCAAAGTGTGAGGAAGATTTTTTTTCCTCTGCAGTTGGTGTTTAGGTTAGTGTATAGGGTCTTTTGCTCGCGCGTCGAACGCGGATTTTTTTTTTTACTTTTTGCGACATCCTTTGTAGGATCCTACGTAGGTAACTATATAGAAAACTATATAAACTATATCCTAATAAATTCGTTTTAAAGGATCACACGTGGGAAACTTTATAGGAATTTTCAATAGGGTCAACATACTAAGGATCACACGTAGGAATATATACTAGTAACAATGAAGGAACGAAATCTTTAAGGAAACTTTAAAAGTTTCTACGTAGGAACACATGTTACTTACCAAGGGCAAGGTACTTAGGAATTTGTGAAAAAAACTTCAAAGGATACCACATAGTAAAACACACTAATAAAGAGTACTGTAGGTACGAACTAGTAAAGGAAACTTCAAAGGATATCATGTAGGAACACACACTACTTACCAAGAGCAAGGTACGTACGAACTTGTGAAAGAAACTTTAAAGGATACCACGTAGGAACACTCATTATTTAGCAACAAAAAGGTACGTACTTTGTAAATGATATTATTAAGGTTACCATGTGCCAGAACCTATTTAGGAACACATAAAGGGTACTGTGAAGGAACACTTTTATACAACATTTCGTAAAAAGGATACCGTGAAGAAACAAACGCAAGATCATCTCTCGGATCCTACGTAGGATCTTACATTAAAAATTGTTTATAAAAAAACTTTCCAATGGTGAATTTCGTTTTTCAAAATTTTTGAATTTTGACCTTGATTTTCTATAATTAAACATAAATTTGCTATTTTCACCAAAATCGATGCGTTTTTTTTTAAATAAATAATTGCAAACGAAAGCTGAGGTTTTTTCCGATCTGTATATAAATTTTCAGAATGCCGATTTTTATTGTTTTCGAGATATTAAATGTCAAAGATTTTATGTCCGAGCGCGGCGAGGCGGTCGACTCATACCGTGTCGCGGTAGCTGTTTACACTGGCGCGCGCGGATATAAAATATTTGTCATTTAATATCTCGAAAACAATCAAAATCGGCATTCTGAAAATTTATATACAGATCGGAAAAAAGCTCAGCTTTTGTTTGCAATTATTTATTTAAAAAAAAACGCATCGATTTTGGTGAATATAGCAAATTTATGTTTAATTATAGCATGAAAAAACCTTTAAAAAAATACCTGCCAAAATTTTTTTTATTGCATCTGTAGACAGAAAAAATTCAAATAGTAAGCGATGTCAGAGAAAACTGATAAAATTGACCCCCCTCTATCTCCCCTAAAATTTCAAAAAAGTAAAAAATTTTTTTGGGAATATTTTACAATCAGGTAGGACGCAATTTCCCCAAGTTTCACTTTTTTCGAGAAATCAATTTTTTAACTCAGGACATTACACATAAAATGCCTCATATGTAGAAATGCTATGGCAATTATTATTTTGGTTGGAAACTTCGGTAACATATCGAAAAATGGGGTACACTGTAAAAGTCACGCGCCCTCGGAACGTACTCTTCGCGCGCACAATGTATACTTATACATACAGGATAAAACGCCTGTAGTGTACTAAGTTAAAAAATCAGACAATTGCGAATTGCACTTGCACTAATTCGAGGGTTCCTTACACCAACAATAAAATTTAGAGGGGGACAGGGTCATTCTTTGTAATTTTTTCGATAAAAACCGATTTCTTTCCTTTCTAGCTCGTAACCATGACATCCAATTGGACTCGCAATATTTTTCCTGAAAACTACACGTGAAAACACGTATGTGTACTGAATTTTAGCTCATCAGATTCACAATTGTAGAAGATAAGTGGGGGCACATAGTTGGGACGGAAGCTAGAGTCTTTTCGTAAGGATTCTGTCGGTACACCGAAGAATGTGGAATTCTCTTTTCACTAATTAATAATAACAGCTGATCGGATCAGACTGTAACTTACACATAGATTAGCTCAAGGGGTTAAATAATCAAAACTTCTCAATCCCCATGTAATACAGCAGTATGGAATGCGCCTAAAAAATATGACATCGACGGAAATTAAAAATGGCTAATTGTAACAGATTTTCGTAAATTTAATGAGAAAACTATTACCGACTTTTTTCTCTTTCCTAATATGAATATAGTGGTCGAGACGCTTGGGAATGCGCAATATTTCTCTGTGTATGATTTAGCTTCCGGTTTCCATCAAATTAAAATGAGCCCAAAAGATTCTTATAAAACAGCCTTTTCAACCCCATATGGTCACTATGAATTTGACCGTATGCCTTCGCTTAAGAATTAAAATTTAAAGGACTCAAAATAAAGGTGGTGCCTCCCCTTAAACAAAATCAATTTTATCAACCTTTTAGTGCGGAAGAATAAGTTAGTTCAAGTGATGATAATGTTAAAGATTTTCCTCATGAAGAAATTATTAAAGATATTGCGAAATCAAAAAGAAAAGAAGATATAGAAGATGAATATGAAAGTGATTTCGACGATTTAGAGGAAATATATTTTCCTATTAAAATTTCAAATTCAAAACAAATTCAAAGAAAAATTAATAATGAGCATAAATGTCAACTCCCCCTGCTGAGCCCCCTCCTAAGTTCCCCCTCGACCCTTTTGTAAACAAACAAAATGTAGGTGACTTAGAAAAATCATGAGATGAACCCTTATTTACGAATATAGTGGAATGTAAAGACCAGTTAAGAATGGGGAAAGATAATTATGCGTACTTTTTATCAACAATAGGTGTCCCTTTAGATAATTGTTCTGGAAGTCTTAATAATCAAAATAAACTTCCTTAATTAAAAAATGTGTTAATTAATGAAGCTAAAGAAATTAAAAAAGGAAACTTTATACACATTGATTTACCAATTTTTGCAGAATTAAGAAAAATTCTTACTGAAATATCAAATAACATTAAACTAACAATTGAATCGTTTAAAAACATAGCCACACAAAAAAAAGTACCCGGGCCGGGGAATGAGACCACCATTTCTTGATGTATTTTGATGCGCTGAACACGAATCTGAAGTCCGTTTAGCTCCATCATGTCAGGATTTTGACATAACCTCAAAAAACATAGCTGATTTTAAATGACAGGAGAAATTTTTTAAATAATTGCAGATTTGCTTGAATCTTGTTACTCGGGGGTTTTTGGGGTCGCTGATTACGAATTTAACGTCAGATTTATAAAATTCAAAATGGCGGATCCAATATGGCGGACGAATTTTTAAAAAGTAGATAGATTTTTACGAAAATTGGTATCTATGGGTTTTGGGAGTCGCTGATTACAAATTTATCGTCAGATTATTCAAATTCAAAATGGCGGATCCAATATGACGGACAAATTTTTAAAAAGTAGTTGAATTTTTACAAAAATTGGTATCATGGGGTTTTTTTGGAGTCGCTGATTACGCATTTAACGTCAGATTATTCAAATGTAAAATGGCAGATATAGTACGGTGGTCAAATATCTTTATGTTTCTACATGTGTCTGCATCCAGGGCACCTCCACGCGGTGACGGTGGGCAACGGTGTTTGTCCGCTATCCGGCTAAGTTCCTGGATAATGGCTTTGATGCCGTCATGGCAGACACACGTAGGAAACGTATTACGATGCAGGGATTCGGAACCCCAGTATCGGCCAAGTTACATAAAAATTCAACTTTTTTTTAAAAACTCGTTAGCCATATTGGATCCGCCATTTTTAATTTGAATAATCTGACGATAAATTTGTAATCAGCGACTCCCAAAACCCATAGATACCAATTTTCGTAAAAATCTATCTACTTTTTAAAAATTCGTCCGCCATATTGGATCTGCCATTTTGAATTTTATAAATCTAACGTTAAATTCGTAATCAGCGACCCCAAAAACCCCCGAGTAACAAGATTCAAGCAAATCTGCCATTATTTAAAAAATTTCTCCTGTCATTTTAAAATAAGCTATGTTTTTTGAGGTTATGTCAAAATCCTGACGTGATGGAGCTAAACGGACTTCAGATTCGTATTCAGCGTATCAAAATACATCAAGTAATGGTGGTCTCATTCCCCGTCCCGTGTACTTTTTTTTTGTGTGGCTGTGAAATTTAACAGAAAAATTAAAATCGGTCAGTATATCGAATTCTTAAAAAAACTTTTCAAGATTCTTGTACTAAAGTAATAATTTGTAAAGGTTATGTTCAATATGTAACAAGTGAACAAAGACAAATTTTGATTGAAGAAACACATTCTTCTGCTATGGGTGGTCACAAAGAAGTTACGAAAACTTACAAAAGAATTCGACAATAGTATTTTTAGGAAAAAAATGAAATTAGACATTCAAAAATATATTGAAGCTTGTTTACAATGTCAGTTGAAAAAGTTAGTTTGAGTAAAACTAAAAATCCAATGGATTTAACAGATACACCAAGGGTGCGATTTTGTAATTTCACTTTGACTTTCGATTGGACACTGACATTGACATTAACATTAGGATATTCCTGAGATGTTTTTGAGGTATCAAAAGAACATACGATTGTTTAAGATTCGGAATGTCTCATCGACGCCTAGAGAGTAAACGTTTTACAAGGAAGGTACTCGAGGTGTGTATCGACGATTTGCTTGAA